TATTCCCTCCATAAATCGATTAAATTTTGATTATAGACATTTTTTTCCTAAAGTGCCTATTTCTCGAGATATATATTTTTTTATATTTAACAGTTTTCCATTGAGCATTTTCACATATTTATTTATTTATTTAGTTAGTTGGAAACAACTGCCAAGACAGGACGGAGCCCAATTATAAGGCAGGTATAATACAGATTAAAAAAAACAGATAACATTTGCATAAACATAATTAAAACACAAATAGAAAATACACACTTATATGGCCAAAAGGTGGAATTTTGATGATTAAAAAGACTATTGAAAATTATAGTTTGTATACCTTTAACATAAAAATGAGTTCAGCCTTCATGTATTATAGACTAGGCGGTATCTGTTTTGGTTTGGATGTATCGTATATCCACGGAGATTTTTGGCTTCTTGGCTTTCAAATATCACTAGAAATTAAAATTTTTCTATGCGCATAAAAAAAAACGTGGACTTAACTTTTGGCGGCACAATATGTTAAAAAAATTCGAAAAATGTCATATTTTTGTTCCTATTTAATCATGTATCTTTTCAAGAGTTGATTTTAGGCGAAAATGGAAAAGGAAAAAANGCATTTTCACATATTTATTTATTTATTTAGTTAGTTGGAAACAACTGCCAAGACAGGACGGAGCCCAATTATAAGGCAGGTATAATACAGATTAAAAAAAAACAGATAACATTTGCATTAACATCATTAAAACATAAATAGAAAATACACACTATATATAAATACATAAAAAAGTGACTTAACTTCTATTGTGCACATAACATTTATTGGAGAAAATTGAAGAATATTTGTTCTTGGTGTTTTCAAATAAAATAAATAAATGTAGCGAGTTCTACATCCCAAAATATTAAAATTCAAATACTCTAGTAATTCCCTACAATCAATCATCCCATTTACAAGCTTAAACAGAAACAGAACAGCTTCTTTGAGCTAAGTCATTAAGTTGAAACCTGGTTAATAGTTCGGATTGAGGGATTCCGCGAGGTGGAGATTTGAAACTTAGGTATTTAAGAAATTGCCTCTCTCACCACTAAAGGTCACCAGATCTTAACCCCCTTGACTTCTTCTTGTGGGTTACCTAAAAGAATTGGTGTATTCAACTCCGGTTTATACAAGAGAAGAGTTGATGGCAAGAATAGAACATCATTGTAATGAAATTAAACAGAATCCACAAATGCTATTTAGAGTGAAACAAAATAATATTAAAAGAATAAGGAAGTGCATTGAACTAGATGGAGGACATATCGAACATTTACTGAAGTAACCTCTTTTAATCCATATGTTTCATTCTTAACTTTTTTCTGTTGCGTTGTGTCCCCGGTTGTGGCTATACCAAAAAATACAAAAATTTAATTATCTTGACTATTGACAACCGTTCATTTTTTCAGAAGTCATGAAGTACCTATACCTTTTTTGTAGAAAAGTAACAGGGCTATCTGCCTGCGAGAGCGAAATATCAAATTTGACAGTTCTGTCAAAGTTGCGTAAATTTTAGAACATTATTTCGACCGTCCTTTATAATAAAAAATATTTGATTCAATTTTAAATGTACAACGATACATTTGAATGAGTTGCTTTGATCCCCCAAATTTCAAGTTAATCAAAGTAACCCTTTAGAAATTATGGGCAATATTCATTTTTCAACTTCTTACTTTGAGTGACAATAACTCCTCAACAATGGCACCTAGGTAAAAAGTTTATATGAAGTACTAGCACTCGTTTGGCCTGCTCTATATAATTCTTTATTTTTTCCCCGTAGTTACCGGACACCCTGTATGCATACTTAACAGAACTAAAATTGGTCTTTCCAGAAAATGACACAAAAACATTTTTTGATATTAAGCGGCAGGGAGTTAGTGTCACACCAACAGTTAACCGTTGATAGATCAGATTGAAGTTTCAAACAGTCCTCGACGTTTTCGATACTCCTGAACAATTTTAGGTCATCTGCATACAATAATGTATTACTGGCAATACTCATATTTATGTCGTTTATGAATAAATTAAACAAAAGTGTTCCTAAAATCGAACCTTGAGGGACACCTGACGTTGCGTGTATATTAACAGACTTGAAACCACGGTACTGAACATGTAATATTCTATGAGACAAATAGGACTGCAGAAAATGAGTAAAATTGAGTGTTAAACCATAAGAAAATAATTTTTCAGTAACAAACCATGGTCAAGTCTGTCTACTGCTTTAATTAGACGGATCAGTATAAATAATAATAATAATAAATGGTCTTTATTCATTGCCAGTGGAGTGTACAATGAAAAGGTGAAGTATCAGCCAAAGGCTGTTTTTCAACTTAACCTTAAATTACTTTAAATTTATACAATAAATGTAGCTATAACAAAATAACGTCAACCTGACCTCCTGTGTCTAAGACTTCTGATACATTTTGATTAAAACATACTAAATTTGATACTATGGACTACCTGTCATAAAGCCATGTCGATTTGGAGAAATCAGAGATTTAAAATTAAAAACTATGTATTCATATAAAACAATTTCCAATAATTTGCTAAAATTGGATAAGATTGCTACCAGCCTGTAATTCTCAATTAGAATTTTGTCATCTTTTTTAAAAATAGGACAAATATTTGACTGTTTCCATAGTGTGTAGGAAATACTAAAGAACCTAGTGATAAGTTGAAAATGAACGTTAAAGGCTTATATAAAACGTTAGCACAATCTTTTAGCAAAAACGCCGGAATTCCATCCGGCCCTGATGTTATTTTAGGTTTGATTTTTTTAAAAGCANTGTTGTCCATTTTTAATATAATACTAACTCGCCGAAACATTTGGCAACACAGCTGGGCTGGCAAGAAAACAGATTCTGACAATCTCTCTAAGACGTACGTTGTTCTCAAATTCCTAATGTGAGAGACAATCAACAATTAGATACGGAAACTTATTGCTTTAAATGTCTGATAGTTCAGTTTGCGCGGTACAGAGCAGGAGTTGGTGCTGCAATGCTGTTATTCTTATTTCTTAGAGTAATGTTTTGAGTACTGATTTTTGTGTTACTTCAAGTTTTTTATTGGATAACTCTTATATTTCACTGCAATTGTTTTCAATTTACAGCCATTGTGTAGTAGCGTATGTTGTGAATTGTTTGGAGGGAGACTTAAATATTATATTCTATAAACTTTTCCTAAATACGACCCTGTTCTGCTAGGCAGACAAGTATTTACGACCCCGTTTTTGTTGTTATCGGCAATATAAAAGAGTTTTTTATTTCTACAATATATATGAAAAGAACTATACCTTCATTGGTTTTAGTAAAAATCTTATTAAAATTGTTTTATTGAGAAAATCGGTTCAATGGTTAAGTATAGAAATAATAACTAATAAGTAGAAACCGTGTGCAAAATTTTATTTAAATCGATCCACCTGATCTCGAAAAATTAATAAGAAATGGGTATACAGGGTGGTCCGAACTTTATGCAGGAAACTTCGAGGGCAGATAGATCTCTTTAAAATAATAAGTGTTTGCCTTATAAACATAGGTCTGGAACGGCACCATTTTAGAGATACAGGGTGTTGAATTTGTCAAAAAAATTGATTTTTTAGGAAATACTAAATACTAAAGAACCTAGTGATAAGTTGAAAATGAACGTTAAAGGCTTATATAAAACGTTAGCACAATCTTTTAGCAAAAACGCCGGAATTCCATCCGACCCTGATGTTATTTTAGGTTTGATTTTTTTAAAAACACTTAAAATAACATCTTCCGAAAAGATGGGGCAACTTAAATAATTTGAATCAAGTTGTTGATTCACATTAATAAGAGAAAAACTGTTAGATTGAATAAATGTTGATTTGAAAAAGTTAGCAAAAGCATTTAATATATCATCTTGATTAGTTAATAAAACATTCCCGTACTTCATTGAACTGGGTATGCTTTTTTGGTATTAATATAAGACCAAAACTGATTAGGATTTGATTGCAATTGATGCTCAATTACTTGTAAATGTGCTATATGAGCAATACGTATTTGATTTTTAATACTAGCCCTCACTATTTTATATTCGTTATATGTGGCTATATCACCGTTATTGTTATATAACCTCCAAAGTTTAGATTTCTTTTGTATACCGCTAATTATACTACCAGTGAAGAAAGGTGAATAATGATTATCATTCGGAATGGTTTTTGGAATAGATTTGGAAAAAATTATATCTAAAATGTTATAAAAATAGCTACAGGCTTCATTCACATCTTTGTATAAAAATAACTCGCTCCAATCAGTATTAAGAATGCCATTATATAATGAGGGAAAATCCGCTTTCCTGAAATTATATTGAGCAATTCGATTTTTAGTAAAAGTTTCTGTATTAATATTGATGGGAAGTTTTATGTCGAGCGCCGGATGATGTGATTCTTCACCTAGAAGACGAAAATCAGATCCAGCAATAGATAAAATTGATCTAGAAAATATTAAGTCCAAGATTCTCCTGTGAGTATTTAAAATGCAATTATATTGAGTTAGCCCAAGAAAATCACTAAAATTGTTCTATTTGAAAGGTTCAGGTTAAAAAATACACCCGGTATAGTCCAATACGTAAATGCAGCTAGGTAACATTAAATGTAAATGATTTAAGGCAATAAGTATTTTGCAATTATCAACAGATATTAGTTAATTCATATTAGTCACTAGGTTCAATGAACATGCGGCCTACTGAATAATAATATGTCGCCCCCTTTTCCGCACAAGTCTCCGACTTCTGGGCTAATCCTTGCGATTATTATTATTATGCACCTGGGTAACTTGATAAAATATTAACGTTCTTAGTGATATTTAGTGGACGCATGTTCACTTGAGTGGCTTTGCAAAATTTATTCATAATTACACCAAATATTCTCGTTCCACCTCTCCGGTGGTTTTTATCTAGTTTTGGTAGGAGTTATATATAACATAAAGATGTTCTCGGCTGACCTTTCCTCCCAAAACGATTTATATCATCCCGATCTTTCAGTGAGCTTAACGAACTGTGAATTAATTGCCATCGTGGAAGTTGCTGAAAATGGAGCCTTTTGTCCTGAAAATTGCTGTAAGTTTGTTATGATTCATTGTTATAAACTTTTTCGGCCAGTAATTAATTACGGCGGTAGACGATACGCAGAAAAAGCAATTTAGTTTTCTTTGTTAAATTAGCTACACATTTTAATATTAGTTTTATTGCTTAAATAAATTGTAGTTACAATTTGTTGTAAGTAATGAATAATGAATTTTATGTAGTCCACGCAATCATTTCTAGCTAATATTGAAATAATCTGTTGTTTTTCTTAATTTTTTAAAGTAATACAATGTATTTTGTAATAGTTATTAATAATTGTATCAAAATGAAAGTTTCATAAAATTTGTTAATGTATGATGTTTCAGTTAATTAATAGTTGCCTTTTTTGGTATGATTATAAATAGAATTTCTTGCAAGGTCGTAGCTGTGAATAAATTTATTATTTTCGCCTTATAGGTAAATTATTTTAATAATGGTTTCTGGGTTGGTAGGTCAACAAGCAGGAACACAAAGGGTGTAAAAGTATCAAAGGAAAGTTTTTACTGTCAGTCTCTAGCAAAATTCGTTTAGTCAAAGTGTGACTGTTAATTTATATATCTCACATATTTACCAACCTTTCAATTTTTTTATGATAATTAGCACCTAATATTATTTCTTATTGTTTTCAACTTATGTCAGCAATCAATTTTGAAGTCGTAAGAGATGACCTTTTTAAAAATTCTTCTTTAGATCAGAGCTCTAAATAGTTTGTTACGTTTCTGCTTCTATTTTAATTACTCCCGTGAAGTCTATTAACGACTAAATACATAAAACATAACAGGATGTTATGAAAAATCTGCCATCAGATTAACTTTTTTTCTATGTACCCAGGAACTATTGTCATTTGTTTTTGAAATAGATTATGATTTAAAATGAAATTTTGGTCACACGTCATATGTAAAATATACATATACAAATTTTATGTATTGGTTAAAACAGATCTTTCTCAGTAACATTTTTCTTTTTCTTTTAGGTTAGATTTTCTGCATTATATGTTGCATACTATAATTTGATTTTATATCAAAAATGTATTCTTCCGAAAATTTCTAGAAACACACCGTTTCCGATAAAAATGCAATTGATACTGCCAAAGTTAATAAATTCTTTCATTTTGTCAAAGTGGAGATTTATAAATATTGTTGGAGTTGTTCTTTTTCAGTCAATAGCGATTTTTCTCGAAAATACTTTCAATATTTTTAAAAGATCTTTTTGTGTCACGAAATTAAAGTTTTTATATTATAACAATATTATAACAAGTGAATTTTATGGAGAAAATATAGTCTATAAAAAAATTATGACTGAAAATCTCAATAAGATAGACTGTAAATATAAAGTTGTGGAACTAACAACAATTAAATATTTTCCAAAACTAATTTGTACCAAATTTAGTTCCAATACGTTGTCTTTTATGAAAGCAATACCAAAATGTGACTCCAAAAAATGTTCTTTGACGCCATATATTTAAAGGATAAACACCTAACATGGTAGGAAAATATCGCTTTGCTTTCTGATGCCTTATCAGCCTCTGAATTTATAGCACCTATTTTCAAACATATTGTATAGGTGTAAACGTAGGATACTTCTCTGTAGGTGGTACTGAATTAAACTCTAAACCAGTTAGTTGTGCTCTAATTCAATATACAAAGATATTCTTCGCAAAATAAAATGTGGCAAAATTAAACTTGATTTAATGATCATAACCTTACAGTCAGTCATACCCTAAGCAAATTATAGTCTGATCGTAAATAAACATAAAAAAGTAATGAATATAACTCTGATGTTTTTTTATAACAATTTTTGAAAACTTCGTGATTCCCGACACGCAAAACGGATTCCTTAGATGTTCGTGTTCGCTGTTAGACATACCATTATTTGTGCGAAACTATTAATTGTACTGTAATTAGTTAACCTGTTCAGACAACAAAATTGATAGAAGTCTTTCATGCCAAATATAGCAGTGGTATTAAAATAGCTAATGGTATCCATGAGGACTGTGTTTTATTTGAATACATTTAAAATTTCCATTTTCATTGTTTTGACTATAGTTTTTAATTGTTTTCAAATTGATACGTAATTAAAAACAAGATTATATTTAATGTATCAAAATTTTTGTAAACATTTTTTTTACTCAGTTTATTTTATTATTTATTTTACCTTAAAAGATATTAAACTTTTATTGGATGAAGTCATCTATATAGGTATGCAAAGATTGTTCGATTATGTGATAGCAAGTAAAAAAATTCTTTCTTGAATTGGATATTTCAAAAGTCGGATCTGTAGTACCAGTAACGCGTGCTAAAATGTCGCTCCATGCCAAATAATCCAAAAGTGTAGCTTCGTCTGTTGATACCTAATAGGTAAGGTATAATGAGTAGAGTTCGGGGTTTTCGTCGGCTAGTCATAGGTGTGTTCGTCGTAAACAAATAAATAAACAGGTAGGTAAAGATAAAAATAAATATACATACATATTTGCGTATTTTATCAGCAAAAGGTCATTTTTTACCATTTGGCGGGTTCGACATTATTAGAATATTAAAACTCGTATACACGAAGCAAACGCGAAACCAATAACTCGAATCCCGAACTCTAATAATGAGCAAGCACATTTTCTTGCTATAAGCAAAATTTTAGTACTCATACTTTTTTGTTTTATTTCGTGAATGCTGTGGCAATGAAATAAAAAAATAATTTGCATGACATTCTTCTTCTTTTTGCACTCATTTTTGGCGACTAATAAAAGGCCCCCGTCAATGCAGGAAGTAGTCGCTTACATACCAAGTTGATGGGCCTGATTTATAAGACTTGTATTATAGTCTAGTTGGTAGAAGTTTTGAGATGGCAGTAATTGCGAAGTGCACAATTTTTTACACGTGACTAGTATTTTGCTAATAGATGAGGAAAAAGAATCTTCTGCACGGGAGTGGATTGGGAAAATTCGAGAAATGTCCGGAAAGCTGCAAAAAATTTCGTATATTTCGTGAATACCTTGAGAAGTATTGAGAATTTCATAAAGATGTAAAGAATCAAAGTTTCAGAATCAAAGCAGCGCTGCACTAAATGTGCGATTACTCTTTCGTTTCTTGTTGAAAATGCATGAAACAAAGTTTGTTCGAAAGGGTAGCTTTAAACTATCCTTTTATGTGCTGTCTTACAGGGACACATCGCGAGAAACACTCCTCATGATCTAACATAAGCTCCTTAACCCTTTTAGAAGTGTATTTTCTCTGCTACACCCCTTTTAGACTATCTCAAAACTTTAAAAAAATTAATTAATTTCAATAAGACAGCTGCACACCACCTTTGTCTCATTAATTTTGAAACTTTTTCGTCTCTTGTTTTTTTTCAAGATTTGGCCTTGTTTCTGAGATATTCTATGAAATTCGTGACAGTGTAGCGCCAGAGGTAGCGCCCCAGCCGCATAAATTTCATTTAACGTTACAGCAACCCATGAAAAACAAAATCAGTTATTTGTATAAACTGACGTTTGTGAAAATCATATTTAAAAGTATTATAAGTTCACAAATTATGTGGGAAAAACGGGAAAAATATAGTACTTTAACGCCCTCTATCTCCGAAACAGTTCTATCGATTCCTGAAGTTATTCAGACTAAACCTGAATCACCTGTATACAATTTACGTCGCTGCACACTGGGATTTTTGAAGATTTTTTTTTTCAAAATTCCAGAAGATAGCCAGATATCAGCCGATTTCAAACATTTTTTTCTAAAATACTCACACTAAAATACAAAAACTTTCATGTCCAAGTGCTATAAATTTGATTTGGGTCATATCGATTGAGTTTTGAGAGGTTAGGTTGCGAAATTTCAATTTTTTTGTATTTTCAGATAATAAAACGTAGAATACTAAGGGTGAGAGAGCAGTAGGGGTAATTTTTTGAGGGGAAAATATACCTACTGAAGACCTGAGATGGTATACATTTGATTTTGGTAATATTAATTGAGTTTTAAGAGGTTAAGTTGCCGTTATTCCAGAAAGTAAACGTTGAATAAGGCTATAAGGGTAAGAGAGTAGTAAAAGGATTTAACATGAGGAAATATTTGAAACTCGGCAACTTAACCTCCGAAAACTCAATCAATAGGACCCAAATAACATGAACAGTATCTAAAAATTTTAGTAGGTACACCTTACGCTCAAAACATTACCTCTACTGTCCTGTTATCTTTAATATTCAACGTTTCCTCTCTGAAATATCAAAATAATTGAAATTTGGCAACTTCACCTCTTAAAACTCAATCAATATGACCCAAATCAATTGGTTTGATATACCATCTCAGATGTTCAGTAGGTATATCTTCCCCACAAAACATTAGCCCTACTGCTCTCTCACCTTTAATTTTCAACGTTTTATTCTCTGAAAACACAAAAAATAAAATTTGGCAACCTAACCTCTTAGAAATCTGTCGATATGGCCCAAATCAAATTTATGACATCTCAGAACTTTATTAAGTACACTTTCTTCCCCATTACATTACTTTTACTACTCTCTCACCCTAAGTATTCAAGGTTTACGTTCTGGAATAACGGAAATCGGCAACTTAACCTCTTAAAACTCAATCAGTATGATCCAAATCAAACGTAGATCTTCATTAGGTATATATTCTCATAAAAAATTATCCCTACTGCTCTCTCACCCTTAATATTCAACGTTTTATTCTCTGAAAATACAAAAAAATTGAAATTTGGTAAACTAACCTCTCAAAACTCAATCGATACGACCCAAATCAAATTTATAGCACTTGAGCATGAAAGTACAAGTCTTTACGAGTATTGTAGAAAAAAAATTATGAAGATCGGCTAAAATCTGGCCATCTTCTGGAATTTTGAAAAAAAAAACTTAAAAAATCCCAGTGTGCGCTGGGGCGCTATACTGTCACGAATTTCATTGAATATCTCAGATACAAGGCCAAATATAGAAAAAAAAACAAGAGACAAAAAAGTTTCAAAATTAATGAGGCAAAGGTGGTGTGCAGATGTTTTATTGAAATTAATTATTTTTTTTAAGTTTTGAAATAATGTAAGAGAAGAAATACACTTCTAAGAGGGGTAGAAGGTTCATAAGAAGCTCATAAGGAGTGTTTGTGTTCGAAATTTCACTTCAATCGGCCTCTATCTCCGAAACGATGCTATTTAGGAAATAAGTTTATATCATGAATAAACACTGTTTTAACCTATTCCATCGATTCGTGAAGTTATCCAGATTAAACCTGAATGTACATTTATTCTTTGAAACACGTTCCTTACGAATATGATATGAAAAATTATATGAAAACATCATTATATTGCTATTTTTATTCAATATTTTCAAAAGTATGAGAAACACCCGAAAATAGAGGCAAGAATGAAAACACCCGTAATTCAATTTACCGGATTTTCATTCAATATTTTCAAAAGTATGAGAAACACCCGAAAATAGAGGCAAGAATGAAAACACCCGTAATTCAATTTACCGGAAAAGAATACAGTATTAATACTATAACAAATTACAGCTCAAAACCTGCCCTTTCCATTTATTATACTGATTTTTTACATGGATATTTGGGCAATGAACTCCCGATATGAAAAGGTGTGAGTCAGTGTCACCTGAAATGCTATTATCAATTTTGACAATAAGACAGAAAATATGTTGCGCAACTTATAAATTACATATAATGGATACTGTAATCGATAAAGTTAAAACGTTAAAAGCGTAAGACTATGGAAGAAAATTTAGATTTTAGTATCTGTTTAATTATTGTTTTTCCATGAAAATAAAGGTGCATAACTCGGTGGACCTAGTGTATATTTTGTGAATTACATTTAAAAAAAAACATTCAAGCTGTAATAAATCCTCAGTTTTGTACGAATCTATTCTCTCTGTATTATTTCACCTATACCTCAAATTTTTTGAATAAAAAATTAAAATTATGGGAGATAGGTAATTCAGTTTTCTCAAAGATATCATATACCTTTTTCATATGTTGTATGTTTATATGTTATAGTGTACAACTTTGGTCTATTGATGTTTATGAAATTCCCAATACTTTTCAAGTTATTCACAAAATAAGTTTTTTTCAGTTTTAACTAGGGCATTTTGTCTATGGCGATGGGATTACAATTTAACACTGATCTTAATTTAATAAGCACAACTACAGCAAAAGGTTTTCCAGGTTCTTATTTTTTTCATTTGCTTCAATATCATCACTCTTTCGAAAAGTGCACCTGTAGGAGAACAGTACAGAACCACTTTAGCAGAATGGACAGATTATAATGCCTTTGAGCCGCAAGGTCCTGGAACGTATAGTTTTGGATACGATATCGAGGACCCTGAAAAGGACAATATTCAGTTCAGGGACGAGGAACGTTTTCCTAACGGTACTATCAAGGGCAGTTATGGTTACCTTCGACCCGATGGAATGGTACAAATTGTTCATTATACCGCTGACGAAAACGGATACAGGTAAGTTGTTGAGAACGTGGCACTAAATATTTTGTAATTAATTTCCTGTAATATACATTTATGCTCTCATATACAAAGTGTCATTTTATTAACTTTTAATATTAAAGCAAACAGCAACTTGAAAGAAATATTTGGGTACATAAATTTAAACAAATATTAATGGTATGTATTTTCACACCTCTGTAACTGTTAGAATAAACAAAAGGCCTTCTTATGTGTTTTTAGTATTAAGCATTGATTTTTTTATTATACGTAAGCCCGAAGCAATGGCTTTTTGATTTGATATTCATTTGAGTATGTATACATTAGAACCATGAAAGACAAACATTTATCTTTATGACATCGTCCACACCCATTAAGAAGTTCTAAAAAGCATCCTTCAGATCAAATATTAAATATGCAAAAAAAATATATTACCTAATAGTTATACCTACATACTTACATACTTATATACTTAGTTTATAGACTTGGATAAGAAATTTCTATGAAATAGGCCAATTACAAAAGATTATAAATAACTGTACACGGTGTAAGTATATCAGTATTTCTAATTAAGAAAAACATACATATACGTCATTATGAAGGGATAGTGACATTTAGTTAGTGGTTTAGTAACATATAAGGAAGAAAAACTACGTAAAAGATCATCTTGGAAATTAATTAGAATAAGATCGATTTACTTCACAACTTAAGAAAAATGTTTGTAGTATTACGATTGGTAATAAAAATCGTTTCCTAATGTATCACCTCCTTAATAGTCTGGACGTACTGTAAATTTTGTTTTAATATTTTTCATTGTAATAATTGTTATAATTTTCAGTTGCTGTAAATGTGTAGATAATAATCGTTTTAATAACCACATTTTGACTATATTGGATATGGGTACAGTCTGTAGGTCTTACCTATATTTCTAACGCCTCCATCTTGAGTTAATTAAGTTATAAAACTGTCTCCACTATTTTGTAGGACACCTTATTTTATAGTGTCTACCATAACACCTACTTGATATACTTATGACTTTGTAAATAAAATAAAATATACATAAATGTCTGTTAAAGGAATAGATACTAAACGTCATAAAATGGAAAAAGAATTTTTATAAACAGGGAAAATGGCAGGCACTAAATGATCTCATTTAGTTAAGCAAATAAAAGCAGTAATATTTGTTTATACAGGGCGTTTCAATGAAAACGTCACATCTATATACAACTTTGTAGAATTTTCGACATATGTATATCACTGAAGCTGGTCAACTTTTTTGAGGGAGACACATTTTAACGTCATTAGTTCTACCCCTTCCCCCATCCCTAATGAAGCTACTACAAAAATTTTTACTGAATTAAATTATACCTCATAAGATGTTATCATTATCTGCACATTATGCTGGAAAAAACTGTATACTTATTAGTTTCTAATAAATTGTTGATTATTTTTATGAAACTCACACAAAGATAAAATAATCTTTGATTCTTCAAAAATATTGTCAGTTTGTTTCAGTCACTATTACTTAAATAATAAAAAAGCAGTAATAAAGGCATCATTCAAGTTTGGCAGCTTTGTTTACGCTTGCCTGATAAAAACAAATTATAATTTTATTTAAAGAGCGTTAATTAAGTACGAAAAAGCAGCAACTTTTGTGTTGATTTTAAACCAAAACCGTTATACGAGTTCGTTAAATTGATAGCTTTCGAGATATGTATGTTGAAATTTGAAAGCGTTCTTGAAATATTAAAATTAATAATTTAAGGTAAAAGTCCACTTAATTCAGATATAAATATTTTATACTAGTGGCGCAGATACCAGCAATCAGTCTGACTAAAGATCTCAGAAGTTTGACATCATTGATTTGTTTGTAACTTCATGTGGTGTTTTCCAGAAACAAAAAAAAATCTTTCATTTTTATCGAAAATGTATAATTTTATATTCATTACTTGCTACTGTCGGTATACTGACCCATTTCTCTCACAACGTTACAGTCCTTAAGCGAATATGCCATGAATAACCCAGTTTTTGAGGATTTGGGGGTCATTTTCTCAAAACTGGTGGATAGTGGCGTCAAACCGACTTGATTCAGGGAATCCGAGAACATTACAATTACAACAGACCACTTCATTATTTTGTGTCTGTTATTTTTCAGTTATGGTAAAGAAACTATATTTTTTTTGTGGGAAGTATTTCATTAGAAAAGCATAATTTATTAAAAAACTGTCTCTCACTATTTATTTATGGCGTCAAAATATCGAATAAAGATATAAATATCTCGGAAGAACAGTTTATTGATAAAGTTGTATATGTTAAGACTTCTGGTTATCTTCAGTGTTTTCCATAATATTGCTTTATGTTTCTAGGGCGAAATTTGAGAGCTACCCTCGTGGTCAGCTGAAACCTTTGAGAAATACTAACAAGATAAATGAGGAACCCTTATCTTCCGCTTTGAGAGCAGCTATTCAATCGAAAAACGTTTTCAAAAGACAACATGTCCATGAGCAGCGACTAAGGCCAGTAGATACAAAATCTCCACCAAGTACGAGTATACTACCTTCAAATACTTTTACAGATAACGGTAACGACGTCTATAATAAGAAAATTGCAGGTTTTTCGAACTTTAAATATACGTAAATGATGATAGTACATACTATATTAATTAGGTTTTTGATTTATGTTTAATTTATTAATGTTATTTATTATAGTTTATTTATTTAAAAACAAACAATTTATTGAATTCAATTATAGGACTTTTACTTTATAAATCTATTATTTATCGAAATGCATACCAACTGCAAATATAATTTTTAAAATCATAACAGTAGGTATTTATTAAAAATAATTATGTTATTTACATAAATATTGCGAACTATTTAAAATTTTGTTTTAATCTAAAATCTGGAAAGTAGTTTTCAAATAATAATTTCATTGTACATTCGCTTTAATTTATCATACAGTGCTTAATTTTTCCACGCTTAGTTCGTCTTCTATGGTAAACATTACCAGTATCATTGTACCTTTAAATGATTTTAAACTCTGGAGAAGGTATTTTGAATGAAACAGAGTCGTGCACTGGGCATTGTACAGACATGGAAGACAAATGGGTATAAGTTGATGAAATTGTTATTTTATTACTCTTATTTTCAATTCAGTTTTGTTTTTATTTAATAATAATTAGAAATTAGTTTTATTGATTTCTATTCCTATATTTATTTGGATCGATATGTACAGGGTGTTCCAATTAAAACTTCCCACTTGGAAAATATCGGAATTATAAAAACCAAGAAAACCTGAGATACGTCGAATACGTCGAAAAATAAAATAAACAGCTCTGGGAGGCAATAAAATGTTTAAAACAGTTATACTGAATTACTCCCTTGTGGTTTGCCTGTAATTTTACATACATCGGAGATAATCGCAATAAAATATATCTAAAGCACAAATAAAACACAATATTAAACGTAACTTTTCCTTAGCATCATTCCCAAAGCTTAACGTAACTTCAAATTAATTCAAAACATTGGAAATGTGGTGTGTGTTTATTTTATTAATCCGGACTATGTATTACAACATCCAGCGCCAAGGGCTTTAAGCCATTTTCCGACATTCCATTTACATGGAAATGGGTAAGGATCAAACAATTTCCTTCGTGGCATAATTCAGTCGGATTGTCTCCCAGAGTCATCATAGGTCCGAAATACTTCTGTCGGATTTTGTTAGAGAGTGTTGACGCTGCAACGGTATAGCTCAAGCTTGTGAAGACGTTCGATGCCATCCAAATAATAATTTTGTCGTCTGGAAGGAGGACGTCATTCTCGGTAAAAGTTCTGGGAGAATCCAAGTTTTCATCAGAATCGCAAGCTGTATGACCCGCTTCCTTTGCCAGTTGATGATTTGCCACTCTAGTTGCCAAGAGGAACATGACTGGTTTAGATTCCAGCGATTGAAGATTGGTTTTGCTGCAGTAGCTACTACAAAAAAATGTTTTTAGTATCATCCAGTGCAGTTAATAAATTAAATGAAATAATTTAAAAAAGGAAAAGTAAGCTAAAATGTAGCTACAGGAATAAACAATAACTGAAATACTCTGCGGACAAATATCCCGACAAGCATTGAATAATACAAGTAATATCTAGTAACAACCGAACCACCAACCAATTTTTTAGTTTTTATCGCTATACGATAAGTAAGACACCGAATAATGATCTAGTTATTTTGATGGTGTAACAAAGTGGTACATCTATCAATGGTTGCTACTACTTAAAGTTTAGGCCTTCAACACGGCCAAACTAACAGCGAGCGACCTGCTACTTCGCAGGTATAAGAACTGAATCGCCACTAAGGCTCAATTTCTTCACTGTCAGGTAAATTTATCTGTCAGTTAAATCTAAGTCTATTGCTTTCTTATGTACAGGTGTTTTATGAGACAGATATAGATTTAACTGGAAGATACTTTTATCAGAAGGTGAAAAAACACGACATAAGTGAAACCATTTTTAACTGATGATGATGCAGAATTATGTGTTATAATGCCTGGACTAGTATTGGTTAAACCTGTATTATAAATATTGTGAGTATAATTCTAGTTGATAATATTTGAAACGAAATCCCAGTTGATAATATTTGGCAATGAAGAAGTGTATAATAATAATAATTTTAAAATCAACATCAATGGTGTTGACCTAATTCATTCCACCTCCTCTTATGAAGTGCATGTGTCACATTTGTTGTAAAAATATTACATAAACTAAAAATGCTCTTCATGCACAAAGATTGCCTTTTAGTTGAAATTAAACTTAAACTTACTGATACATTAATTCTCTCACCCTTAGCTTACTGTGACATTTTGTAATGGACAGCACTTACAATGAAATATAAAAACAGTCTACAGAAATTACAAAATTCTTGTCTAAAATTTTTCTATAATTCACGAACATTTGATCATGTGACGCCACTTTTTGTTTCATCTAAGTGGTTAAAATTGGAGGAGAGATTTATTGTCCATTTGGCAACATTAATTTATAAGATTATACAAAAAATAAAGGCATATTATGATTACTATTAATTCAATGCTAGGACCATTCGTTAGCATTGAATGTGAGCATAGAAATTATTCTTTAAAAAACGATATGGGTCCCATGCCTTCTTATCAAAATATAATCATTTTAGTTTGCACCAGCCGTCACGGCAAACCTGTATCTTTTAACCCATGATCTAGCAACTTTGAATATATTTAATAGGAAAAAAATCTTAGTCTAAATTCTTATTGTAATATAACAAAAGAAGTCAAGTTTACATCAAAAGCAAGGACTAGGTGATAACTAATACTTTTATTTATCCACCAAGCACAGGTTATTGGTTATAAACGTCACTCCAGCTTAATTATTTTTTTTATTTTTAAGTTCAGAAAAAAATGTTAAATACAAAAGCTATGGTTACTAATACGAAATTATTTATGATTATATTGAATTTTGTATAGGATCTTATTAGAAAGCATGCTAAGACCCCCTCTAACAAAATAGTTAGGTACACAAAAAAATGAATGCTTTTAAAGGGAGGAATGAGTCCGATGTTTTCATATGTTTCATATGTACAAAAATTCAACCAATGTTTAAACAAGCGCCAGAGCTCTGCTAATTGACCGATTCGGATTTTTCAAAAAAGTTTGAAAGCTTGAGAGCCCTTCTATATGTGATTAAATTTTCAAGTATCTAAGGGCTTTGGTTTTTGCTGTGCCAAAATTTGAAAATTTGCAATTTTTTTTCAAAATTTGGATTGCAAAATTATTATGCAAAATCTATCGAACCGATTTTGATGAAATTTGGTGTGATAATTCTACATAACATGAAGTTTTTTTAACCCAAGTATAAAGGTCCTATACCCAATCCCTAAATCCCTAAAAAAATTCCCTAAAAAGTATTGTTTTTTAACCCCATTTTTGCGATTTTTTCGATTTTTACCATAATAATCATGATTCATTCGATTTTTAACTAGATATGTTTTGTAAAAAATTTAATTGCAAACATTTTTTTCCTCTTCCATTTCTAGTGATATTTGAAAGCCAAAAAGCCAAAAATTTCCGTGGATATACGATTCACCCAAACCAAAACAGATACCGCCTAGTCTAAATGTAATAAGTGCTAGTAGTTCAATACAATCTATTTAAATATGTAAAAGTTTATATAAAAATTTTATAGATATACATTGTCTCCTTATCTCAATCAACAATAAATCTGATTATTATTAAATAATTAAAATCTACTACTTTTCTTCAATGTCTGAACATGAGAAATATAAAGGTGTACCAGATGAAACAGCAATTTTATACTTGTATGTTAGAACGTATATTAGTCTTAGTAACCGATATACAGGGTGCCGCAAAATTCCACTAACATTCTATAGATTTCTGAGCAAAAATAAGAAAAATATGTATATAAAAATATAGATACGGAAACACTTTCAAAATTAAAAGAAAAATTAGGTACCGCTTAAGTAATCAAATACACAATGTACATGTTTTATAGATGTAATCTTCGCAACTTTGTACGACAATTTTGTGTTCAGATATGCAACTCTTGCTCGTATTCGATTACGTTTAAACTATATACACTTTACAATAACAGCAAATGATATAAAAGAGCATTAAACTAAGATAATCTAGATTTTATGACGAGGGCTCTGAATGATAGATGCAAACGTAATCTATTCACGTTGATTTTGTGTATCATGTCTAGGTAAGTAATAAAGTTGTATTCAAATTGTACATAAAATTCCCGCATCATGAGACCCGCTATCTGGGTCGGGATCAGGGTCGGGTGAATGCTTTATCTCACTAGTTTAGTGACATCAAAAGGGTTGTCCGCTCCCTGGGAATTGTAAAGTTATATTTTTTCCTTTTGTGGTTATTTTTAACAAGTCCCAGGAGATTTGTTCGTTTATGTAGTATATCCCAGAGGATTTCTTTTAAAAATAGAGAGTTATATTAGCAGGAGAGACAAATCGTCAGAAAAAATTAACTGTAAAGAATTTAATTAAAGCCTTCTCGGATCAAAGTAAAACAAATACTTAACCGAATATATTTCAGCATCAAAAGATACCAATCTTCGTGGAATCTTTTCGCGATACCACCACTTTTTAAGATAAATAAAGTAGCATCTTTGGAATCAATATTATTATTTGATTATTACAACTTTAAGAGAATCATGCATTTCCCTGGCACTTCTGAATTTCAAGGAACAATCCATTTATACAAAAATATAGATTTTCACAAGAACGATTTTTGAAATTGATACCCTTTTGAAACATCTATTCATGAATTACCTACTGACGGTATAAATAAATTGGAATAAACTATATTTTATTAAATTATTGAATATTGTTTATAAACAAAAAAATCGTTTACCAACGATTTAACGAATTTTAATTTTCCTCGCCGTGTTATGATTTTTTCTTTATCTTTTTTTTATATATATGTATGTACATATATGTGGCTAGATGTTCTTGTAATATGTCGTCAAGATCTGCACTAAAATTTATGAGTCCACGAAACACATCAGGGTTGTCCGAATTTTCTGTCTCGTCGCGGCCGCGAAGTGCTAATTCGAAAGCTCCGCAAAATTTTAGGCAATCTATGATTTTAGATAATACATAACGATTTTTCGTTACCTGTTCATTGTATTTCCGTATATTACCCCAATATGCAGAATCTAACTGACTTCTTATGTTTATTTTACCTAATGACTTAAATGACTTAAATCTTTCACAGTGTATATTGTCCATGCTTTATCCCCACCGAAAAGTAAGCACGAAAAACAAAACAGTGTATTTTTTATATCACACCCGCACACCCGCTCTGCTTTTGTGTATACATTATTGTTAAATTGTCTTTTATAACTTTTATTTCGGCTTGTTCCACTAACTTTAATATTTAATTGTGGTGTTGGCAGAGAACCAAATAAAGTTTTTTGTAAAAACGAAATGCTATTCATTTTAATAACTATAATATCCGTAGAAGCCTAAACGAGAATATTCACACGTGCCGCTCGTAGAAATAAACCACCGCACACCACGTACGAAATATTACTGCATTTACTGCAGCAGTGGCTGTCGTTGTTGCAGCCACAAAAGCCCATATAAAAGTGTACTGCGTTACGTGCCTGATTAGCCAATAGAAACAAAAGGCGCATCTAACTATTCGCTGTGCACACATTTTGTATATGAGGTTCATATATTGAGGGGCGTAGCTCGCATCGTAATAAATAATAATATAAGCTCCTAGATTTATTTTAGCGCGAGTACATTTGGATTTTTAAAATATTTTGTTGATATTTAATATGATTAAATACATAAAATTTTATGTGTTCTGCAGCTCCGCAGCTCTTATGGTAAAACCGCCACTGATGCCTGGTCTATTCACAGTCTAATTGTATCATTGTTGTCAGCTGTATAATTGTACTGGAAATGTACTTAATATTTTTATCGCAATTTCCATCACAATTGTGAAAATTATTATTATAAGATAGTATTATTAAGTTATGCATACAATATTGTTAAATTCTGTACATATTAAACTATTTTTCATTTTTCATATTTGCCATGTTTGAAGACTTGGCAACTACGCAATAATTTGTAGCGTGTTCCTCGTTCGTTCTGCCGTGGTTGGCAGAATATGGCGTCTCTTGTTAGAAAATAGTTGTGATTTTAGTAAGTGAAACGTGATTAGTGTTTATACATGTATTTTGGATAAACTTTTAAGGTGTGAATATGGTTAGACAGTGCAGAATTTGTAAGAAATTGGATTATAAACATCCACATCAGCTATCCTTCCACAGGTAAACGTGCTTGAAGGTGACTTTGGAATGTATATGCAACTGTGGCCATTGTCGTGCGTGTGGGTAACTTTTATTTGAATAACGGTAAAATTTTATAAAACTGACTTGGTATTTTTTTAAATTTTTTGCTGAAATAGTAAGAAAACAATAATATGAACCACGTTTGGCCATTAAAATCAAAGGAAAATGCTGCACCACAAATAAGTTACAGACATTATTTATATTTAATATATTTATAGGTATTTCAATGTTATCCCTTATACCCAACATTACAAATTTTAATCATTCATCATTTTCATTTTCCTCTACGACAAAAACCTTTTCAAAAATATATTTACAATTTTACTAAATGCACGAGCATAAAAACTGAATAAATACAACAGCAAAAATATGGTGGTGGTTCACTTATACATAAAAATACCGAAGATGCAATCAACTGAAAGTTGCATTCATT